AAAAATTACTCATCAACTTTTCTACTTGCACAATATAATACTTCGTGTTAAAATAAATACTCTCCTAAAATTATGTGTAAATACAAGTGATGCCTTTACTCTCTCCGAATTTCAAAGAGTGCTTCACTTCTCTGAATATGTAGTTTGGAGCACTTATTTAAAAAGATACAAAAACAGAGGAATACCTTCCTTGATATCTTGTCCGAAATTAAGTGGTTTTTATGTCAACATTTTGGTTTATTCACTTTGCAAGTCTTTTTCTATTTTTAGGAGTTTTACTTTCGGTTCCAGTCATTTAGTTGGAAACCACCATTTTACTAAGAATGTGTTTAGTGTATGGTGTTGAATAATTGAAAGGGTCAATTTCAATAGTCGTTTTTGTTTGATTTATTTATTTTTAGGAAATTTGGAGGCAAGTCAATTGTGGAGTCTCTTTTGTTTATGCGAGAAAAGTCAAAACAATTCTCCGGTCAATAATTGGAGTTTGGTGGGGGAACAAACGTCGTATTAGAGATTTAGAGTTGATTTCTTTTTCTTTTTTTATTTGTTATTTATTATTTATTTTATTTTATTTTATTTTATTTTTTTGAGGGAAGAGTTGAATTTGTAAATACAAGTAATATGCTTTGTATTTATATAATAGTAGGTTACGGTTTATATAGAATCTATTTTTATAATTTGTACATTTTTTTAAAAAAAATGGATAAATATAAATAAGAATTATGCACCTTGTACAAAAAAATCTGCATTTTTAAAAAATTTAGATTTTTATCAAAATTATGATATAATACTTGTTCAATGTCGCCTAATCCATATTTCAATGTAGGAGTCTATTTATTAGTGTGCTACTTAAAATTATTTCATTTTTAAGGATAAATTGATAGGTTGTAGTTGTAATGTAGAAGCTTTTAATATTCAAATTTCAAAATTATTAAATATGATAGCTCCACAACACCCAAAAAAAAAAAAAAATGGCATCATCCTTGCATTTAGGCGGGAAAATTTTTATTATTAGAGTGACATGTGGACAATGATGATGTCAACGTTTTGTTTTAGTAATAGTTAATAGATACTAAGGGGCTGAATCTGTCAAATTAATAAAATTATAAGGTGTCATGTAAAATTCTCTTATTTTAATACAAGTAGTAAAATTGAAAAAAAAATACTCCATGGTATATTGATTGAACTTCTAGAATATACTCTCGATATACCAAGTGGAATAAAAAAACAAAAAATAAATTCTTAAATTTAATGATCTTGATTATGTTAAAATCATAAAGACGTGGAGGGAAATAAAAAATTTTGCCTTAATCAAAATCATTCCTATTTTTTTAATATGTTGGTATATTGTCAAAAAAAAAAAAAAAAAAAAACCTTTCTTTTGTAGTTTGAGTGTCATATTAAATAACTAGATCATCCCCGTGCGATGCACGATTTTAATAAAAAATTTATAGTATAGAACTCGTATATACAATGAATCTTTTCAATTTTGTCATAAATTCATTGGAAGGAGATTTCTTAAAAGAAATAAAGTTTGAATATTTTAGGAAATTTCTAGACGTTTGAATATTAGTTTTAAGGAATTGAGGAGAATGAATGATAAATCTTTAAATCAAAAGAAAGGAATACAGTTGCTATTCAATTTACTATACCTCAGTTTTCTAGATTAAAGTTGTTGAAAGAACTTACTTGGCTTGTTTACGAAATATCACACAAAAGAAAAAAAAATAATAATAAAAAAAAACTATCACAAAAAAATGACATTATCAATGGTTTTAGGCGGGGAAATTTTTTATAAGAAAACGACACGTATACACTTTGAGGAGAGATGATGTCAGCAATGTTTTGTTTCAGTAATAGTTAATAAATGTAACTCGTATAGTTTCTTTTAACATGCTAGCTAACTGAGGTAATATAAAACTTTTTTAAAAATAATAAATTTTATTCCAATAATTATAGAATAGTAGTGAAAATTGGCATCATGGCATGGAACATACCAATAAAATTCCCAAATTGATGGTTTGTCATGTATTCGTATTACATTTGATTGATTAATATATGATGATTTTATAGCAACAAAGGTATAGATTTAAAAGATATAAAAATATAATGACGACATCTCTTATTTTCTTATGTATAGATGGAATGATGAGTGAAAGGAATTGATATATATACATGGAATAATGCAAGTGATGAAAGGAATTTTGTTGATATAGATGGAATATATTGTTAGATGATGTTGGTCATTTGTGAGCATAACTATTACAAATATTAGCTTTGTCTTTTAGTTAATCTTTGATATCAGATATTAATGAGGTTTGGTCTTATGGTAAAAACTAAAGGCTTATATTGGTTGTGTATGATAAATCATTGCTTTATACGGTATCAGTCAAACTTTTTTAAAAAACTTTGATATAAAGTCATTGTTTCCTACAACATTAGTAAAGCTTAAAAATATAGTTTATAGATGTGATAGAGGGCTGTAAATGAGCTGATACGTTCATGAACTACTCGCGAACAAATTCGGTCAAAGTTTGGTCAAAACTCGTTTATTAAGTATAACAAACAAGCTTGAACAATAATTTAAAGCTTGTCAAATAAATGAACAAAGCTCGAACAATATCATGTTCGACTCGATAATGCACATTCATAAGTTTGTTCACGCTCAATTATAACAGTCAAAGCTCACTCAAGCTCGAAAAATCTTTATTATATTAAAACTACTTTAGTATATTACTCAAATCTATTTGAAAAAACTACGAACTATTACATCCTATATAGGGTTACCTTTATCTATAGAAAGAATGGAAATTTCTCATATAATACTACGTAGATGCACTAGAATTTAAAAGTTTCACGATATATCAGCACTCGTTTATCTAATAAAGCTCGTTATTCAAGCTCAACCTTAAACTCGAAATATAAATGAGCACGTTTGTGAACAAAGCTCGAACAAGCCAAATCCTTAACGAGCCAAGTTCGAACAAGATTTTTAAAAGCTCGAGATAGCTCGAACACTAAAAATTCTTATCAAGCTTTGTCTGAACAGACTTAAACTCAGCTCGACTCAGATCGTTTGCAGCCTTATATGACACGTCGCATTGAAACTTTGTTATTTAGAGAACCGAAACAAGGTTATCATACATGAGAATATATGATAAAATAAGAATCAAATGATCAACATTTTGTAAGGTGATAATGTGAAAATAATTAATTTTTATAAAGGAGATGTGCAAATATTTTGTCACCTTAGCAGGTGACAATTCGGTGGTCAACACAAATTATAGATTAAAATACATTTAAATTCATTAGAAATTTAAAATCACAGTTAAAGGAATAAAGATTACCATAAAAACTGTTAGAATTACCCTTATATTAAGCATCTTACAATAAAATTAACACAAACCGCCTTAATTGAGTTTTTTTTGTTCAATCAATGTCCACCCCAAAAAAAAAAGTTCCACCAACATGGCTATCAAAGTACCAACTCCCAAACTATTAGTCGTCTTACGCGGAGGTATCTTTCCTATCGTTTTCATACCTCTTTGCAAATCTTTTAAAATTCTTTAATTTTATTTTGTGGAGTTAAAATATACTTCGTATTTATTTTTTGTTTTCTTGTAATTAAGTCAAATCAAATAAAGAAAAGAGAGGAAAATTACATTTGTTGTGTCGTCGTCTAGAACAAAGTACTATCATTTGCAAGTAAGATTCCAATTAAAATCTTAGACCAAAACATTTTAATGAACGACTCACATCTTGACAATACATAGTTTGATTTCAATCATTATTTTTACCACTACCATTAATCATGTAATTATTTTAACGCAAGTACACAACTAACAGCATTGTATATATGTACTTGCGACACAGTTGATTGATTTCTACCGATTAGATCTTAGGTAATTACAAATATATTAAGAAAACAAATCATTTCTAAATTAATGATATCAATGTTACTCAATGGGTTTGAATCGAATAAGAGACATAAAAATGCGGAGATTTTTCTTCCAGGGGAAGCCTTATGGCAAGGTAGCTAATAAGAAAACATCAATGCACCTAAGACTTTCCTTAACTTGGTGTGTATATATATATATATTATTTTTTTTTATTTCAAAAAATAATAAATTATCAATACACCTCATATGTAGTTTGCTATAATATATTATAGTCATATAAAAAATACAAAGTAATTCTATATTATTAGTCAAGTTTGGATAATGACTATAAAATTACAACTCATTAATAAATTACTTTGTAATATAATAATGTCAAATTTATAAGCATTCCAAAATATTTTTTTTTTAAAAATTAAAGTTTCTAAATAATTGGAACATCATCTAATTCAACTTAGTTCCCTCATTCTCTCTTCATAACAACACAGTTACACAAATCTATCTCTCTTTCTTTTTTTTTTTCCAAAAAATTACTTTCTATCTCATTTTTGCATAATATCTAAGAGAACACACGGTCATCTCTACAAAATGCAGCCTCAATCACCACTGCACCAACATCCCATTAATACATTTCTATGTTAAAACTTAAAACGCAAAAGTTCACAAACATTCCGGAGGCGTTGAATAAGATAACTAAAAAGTAGATAAATCATATTAAATTGACATAAACATTGATTACACTGATCGATGTGTAATCTTTACATATGGAGTATATTCTAAAATTAATTCCACTTTAAGAAATATTTTAAATTCTTATTTAACGCATGAGGGCATTCACCTAGTCTTTTTATTCTTCCACTTCATAGTAGAGTGTCCCTGATCTTTTAAGCTTCTGGACAAATAGAGCAGATTTCAGCAGAGTAGAGCAGATTTCAGCATAACAGAATAGAGCATGACAAATTTCAGTAGAATATAGCACATTTCAACCAAACAGAGCAAAACAGAATAAAACAGAGCCACTCAAAAGAATAGGGCCTAAGTCACAATGTGAAGGTCGCTAACACAGAGCAGAGTCAACAAATCTCGTCGTCCGAAATCATGATCTCATCTACTCTTCTCTTCCAAAGAATTGCTCAAAAGTCTCCACGCCCCACAGTGGGGACCCCCTAATCTCTTTACTCTAGTCTTGAGAGTCGTCAAAATCTCGTTCGTTATAAATAAACCAAGAAAACCCCACTTTCTTTCTACCCTCCAACAAATATTGAAGAACTTACCAACTCTTATATTTATTTCTTGCTGATTGAGTGATTTCTGATCATACAGAGAGAAAGTTCAAGTTGCAGTTGAGTTTCACCCTAATTACTTCACGTTTTCTCTCTTCTTCTTTCAATTTGATTGGATTTTTGGGTTGCATTTGACCATGATGTCTCCTGGACTGGTAATTTTAATCATCTCTTACTATTTTATAGTTCAAAGTTTGGATTTTTTTGCACAATTTAGTTGGGATTTAGGGTTTCTGTTTGATTTTTTTTGCTATTATTTTACTTTACTTCAGTTTGCTGTTAGAATTGTGGGTTAAGCTGCAAGTTCGCGTCTTTAAAGTTAATTTTTTTTATTGTTTACAATTTGTGATCGTGAATGCTGATTTGGTTTTAGAAGGTTTGCTGAATTGGGAGATATTGATTGAATTTAAAGCAATTAATTTTATATTAATGTTTGAAATGAGAGTTATCAGTTGGGTTTATTTTAAAATGGTAATGAATGCTTAGCTTGAATGCTGTGTTAAAATGGGAATTATTAGTTAGGTTTATGTTAAAAGCTGGCAAGATAGCTGATTAGCATTCTCATGAAAATAAGTACTAAATTTTGGTGTAACCCAACTTAGTTAAGTAGGTGATTCTAGGCATTCCATAATTAAGACCAAGTTCCGAAAGAATCCGAACCTCGGTGACCGCTATGATCAGTGCTTTAGGAATTCTGTGGTGATTGTCTGATGGACTTAAGGCTTATGCTTCGGTGTCTTGGCTTAGGGTGCTTAGGTTTGACCAGGCTAGACCTGTATAAAATTGGAGCGGCAGGAGATCCCCATTTAGAAAAAGGAGTAGAAATATCAGATGATGCCTTAATATTAGATAGATTTACTTAAGAGGATAAAAATTTCAAATGTAGTCTCTAAAGTTATTAAATTTGTTTTTCCCTGTTTTATTTGGAACATTTCTGATTGTTTTGTTGAATAAATTGGTTTGGAAAGTGGGGTTTTTCGTCATCTAGGCTTCGCTATAATTTTTGATTTGATGTAGACAGTGATTTTTGGCCTGATTAAAGCTTGGGCTACACTAACCATACTTGTTCCTTGCATGTAGGAAAATGGAAGGGTTTCTAGTTCATATCATGAAAATGCAACTTCAGAAATGGTTCCCCTGGCTTATTCGGAAAAGGCAGTACAAGAGATGCTTCAGCTACCTCTTGAAGGATTAGACAATAATCTTGTAGAGTTTTCTGAAGCTATGAGAAGTAAGATTAGTCAAATCCTGGTAGTATATCTAGTTTATAGTAGTCTTATTTTTCAGTATTTTTATGTTCAACCTGTGATAAAATGCTTATGGATTTATCTGCTGCTTTAGCTGTTGCAAAGGCACTGAGGCGTGCTGCAGAAGGAAAAACTTCTGCTCAAGCTGAGGCAGCGGAATGGAAGCGAATGTTTGAGCTAGAGAAGGCAAAGACTCTCCAATTAGAACGCAAAGGTCTCCTATATATACATGGACAACTTATATTTTTTTGCTTATCTTGACTTTCTTTGCTTGCAGCTGTGGTTGGGTGTACTGAGTTATATTAATTATAGAATGATTTCTTGCAGTACTTTCCGTAGTTCATTCATTAATGTATATAATTATATACATAGAATGAATTCTTTTGCAGTCCCTTTCTGTAGTTCAATCATTAACGTAATAGAAGTTTGCATTCACGTTTAAACGCGTAATGAACTAAATGTAGGGAAAACGTAGTTTCAGAAACCCCAAACACTTTTCAATGACTAGGTTGAAGGAACTGATGGACCTTCAGACATTTGAAGTGCTCAAAAAATTTATTAGTTATGCTGGGTGGTCTAAGATGAAGATCCTATGGTTGTGATGAAGGTCTTCTGTTTGGCAGATTTTGTTATTCCTTGTCAAATGCTTCATTATGTTCAGATTGTATTTCCTCTATTAATACGTCTGCCACTCTGCCAGAGGCTCCAAACATTGCTGTTAATGATTAGCCTTTAAAAGGATTAAATCTGTGGTGTCATAGAAGTGTTGTGATGAGTTGATCTTTCATTGCAGCATCATCATCTGTTAATTCTTGTTGTGATCTCCCTAATAAGAGACCAGCTGACTTGCCTGACCAACCAGAAAAGTGTCTCTCAGAAAATGGGAAAAATGGGCATTGCTGTGGAGCAAATGGAATCTGCAATCACGAGGTGCTTGATGGGGAACCAACATCAGATTCTGAGTCTGTGGACAAAATGATAGTGAAGAAGGTAATAGTTAATGATACCGTCTTTGGATGTGATTTAGCTTGCAATTTCTTATCAAAATGATCTGAAAGTGAGACCCATTCTTCGCATTCGTAATATCCATTTCAAATTTATTGACCATCAATATTAAAATTCTTTCCTCATTATGTTGGGCATTGAAATTCCCTTGCTAGTGGTACCCTCTCCAATTACTTGTTTGTTTTTTATGCAGGCATCATTCAAACTTTCATGGAATAGAAACCGTTCAAAGGGAAATCGATATAAGCATGATGTAGTCTCTTTTGACAGTGGAAACATAAAAACTAAAGAGCGCAGTAGCAAACAGGTATACATGCACAACACTGCTGCTTGCTGCTAATAGTTAGTGGATCACAGTTACTATGTCTGCATCGAATAACTCGTCTTTCACGAATGATTGCTTGTTGCATGCATAGAACTCAATGCTAAGGTTTTCCAGTGGCTAAGAAATTGTGTTCTTCTATATTTAGCCCCTATTTGTCTCAATTGAGTGATTGTTGTGTCCATGTTTCAGATATATCTCAAGTGGGACAGTAATCCCCAAACTGTTCTTATTTTGACCAAGCCAAATTCAGATTCTGTTAAACTTCTATGCTCCGAACTAGTCAGGTAACCAATGCTAACTATTAATGTGCCAGTATATCAATGCTGCTCTGGTGATGTTCTTTTTTGGATCCAATGCCTGTATTCTATTTAAATCCTTCAATCAAGTTGTTTGTGCCATCAATCTGAGTAGCTACTGTAGGTTTAAGTAACCCTAGATATAACTTCAATTTTTGCAGATGGTTGAAGGAAGAGAAGAAGCTAAACATTTATGTGGAACCACGAGTTCGATCTGATCTCTTAAAGGAATCATCTTCCTTCAACTTTGTCCAGACCTGGGAGGATGGTAAGATTGAACGATGGTACTTTATGTAGTTTGTAAAATTTTGATTACCTCATAGCAGCTTTGACATTCTTTAGCTTTTGTTTTTTATGTGAGTTATTTTATGGATGATGAGGAACACAATTCACACAGGCAATGCTTTATTATCTTTTTAAATTTTTTGATTTATTTCTTTTTTTGTATTTAATTGACAGATAAGGAGGTCTTGCACTTGCATACAAAAGTTGATCTGGTCGTGACTCTTGGTGGGGATGGAACTGTACTTTGGGTATGTTTCATTTCCTTTTCTTTTTTATTTATTGGACTGCAAATGACAAAAAGATACGAAATATTAGATACATGAGAAGGGTTAGCTTGATCTGCACTGAAACAATTCATACACCTTTTCTTCAAAAAAACAAAACAAAACAATTCATACACCTAATTGCTCATACCAGACTCTGATGCTTTACGATTGTTCTCCTGTTTATACATGCCAAAGTTGTTTAATCTCCAGAAATTTCTGTCTTGAGAATATTGAATTCTATGATAGAGTTGACCAAATTCAATAATGAAATTCATGACTATCAAATAAATGAAGAATCATTTAGTCATTTACACGAAAGAGCTCTTAACAGCTTAGAAACATGAGGCTGTTACAGTGGTTCTTTCTCCTATTCCCTTCCAAAGTTCAGAATATTCAGGTCTTTGAATCTTTCAGAATTAGCCTGTTTGCTACTTTTGTTTTGTTTGATTTAGATATATACAACTATACATCATGACCTCCCCTAACTCAGCCATTGGCAGGGCTCGCTTAGGTTAGGTTATTGGCATATATCTTTTAGGAAGTCATATACTCGTAAATGCTAGCAGCTGGCTATCGTTTTACTATTACTCATTTCTTGCAATCCTAGCCTAATTTCTACTTCTTGCTGCAGGCTGCTTCATTGTTCAAAGGACCAGTTCCTCCTGTAGTTCCACTTTCTATGGGATCTCTGGGCTTCATGACTGCATTTCGTATCCTTTGTGCTTTCCAAATTGCTCTTTTGGGCTCTTGGCTCATACATACAAGTCATTCAAGTATTTGTTTTCACGTACGAGTTTTAGGAAACCAAAGAAGTATTTTATGTGTTTTCAACAAGTTTAACTTAATATATAAAAAAGTTTAATGGCTAATTCTCTCTCTAAACTTGTGCAATTATAAGGTTTTCCTCAGTTCCTCTATTCTCTCATGAAGTTTGTCTAAGGGCTAGCCATAACTTGTGCAATTGGTGTGCTAGACACTTAAATAACCTGAATTTTGAACAGGTATGGTAACTTACGTTGATCAACATGCAGAACCCTAATAAGAATTTTTCTTCTATTTTAAAGTTGTTCTTTAACACCCCTTAGATAGTGAGCAATACAAGGAATCACTTGATTCGGTGCTTCGAGGTCCTGTTTGCATCACATTACGGCATAGGTTGATGTGCCATGTCATTCGAGAGACAGCAAAACACGAGTTCGATGCAGAGGAGCCCATTCTTGTTTTGAATGAGGTTACTATTGATCGCGGGATATCCTCATATCTCACAAATCTTGAATGCTACTGTGACAACACTTTCGTGACGTGTGTTCAAGGAGATGGATTAATTTTATCCACCACATCTGGAAGTACTGCATATTCATTGGCAGCTGGAGGATCTATGGTTCATCCACAGGTTTGATCTTACAGCTAAATGCCTAAAAGTATTTTACACAGTTTTACTATCATTCAGTTTTAACTTTTACAACACCACATAAATGTTTCATTGGAAATCTTAATTAAGGGTATCTATGACGATGATAATATAGAAAAATATAAAGTTGAATTGTTGAACGCAAATGTTGATAGCTACACTCCACAGCTTTCTGACTATGATTTTATTGACAGGTTCCTGGCATTTTATTCACACCAATCTGCCCCCACTCATTGTCCTTTCGACCCCTTATATTGCCAGAGCATGTAACAGTGAGAGTGCAAGTACCATATAACAGCAGAAGTCCTGCATATGCATCATTCGACGGGAAAGACAGAAAAATGTTGGGTCCTGGGGATGCACTTATATGCAGCATGGCTCCTTGGCCTGTGCCTACTGCATGTCAAGTTGATTCCACCAGCGATTTCTTGCGCAGCATCCACGAGGGACTGCACTGGAATCTGAGAAAAATACAGAACTCTGATGGCCCTAGTTCTAGCACATAATACTCAACATAATAGTCTGCAAGTGTTTAGCTTACCATATATGCGTTTTTTCATTTCATAGATTCATGGGAGATTCATCAACATGAATGGCTGGTTTAATTTTTCTTCATGCTTATGTATTGTCGGTGAGCACTAATGTAATCTAGATTTAATGATCGTGAAAAATAGACCAGCCATAGAATGTATTAATCTTACAAGTATGATGTATACCATTGCATAAAGTGCAAATACAACATTTACTACTCATATTGTATAGTACTTTTTGTTGTGGTATATGTAAACCTAACAACACTTCCTTGTCTCAGCAGACAGCAGCATCTTCCCCACCCACTAACCTCTAACCCTTAAGTTCTCACAGGATATATGTATGTCAACCAAAGAGTAATATAGCTTATTTGTCAGACCTTATATTGTAATGAAAACTGCGCCCGAGTCCAAAGGTTATATCTTTCCCGTCGAATAATAAATCCAAGCAAAAGTAGCAAATCTGCTAATCCATACCTCTGTACAACCTCATTTGGTTTAAAGTCCCAAACCACGGTTCAACCTGTTAGTTACAAAGTACCTACCAACAAAAATTGTATAGTGTTTAACCCTAGGCCACATGGTGTGAATATACCGCCTTTGGCTCAATTGCAGTTGTCTAGCAAATAGTTTCAATTGCAGTTGTCTAGCAAATAGTTTCCGTGAACCTTTTTTTAAACAACGACCCTTATTATCCATAATGTGACTCAAAGATACCCTAATAACACCCAACAACATGGCATGATACCCTAATAATCCTAATAGCGTGTTACAAAGTTATAGATTGAAGTAGTGAAGAGATGATCTTCAACACCATAAACATTCCTAGGGATTGCCGTAAAATTCCCTCTTCACTCATTAAAGGGCTTTGGAGACGACTTTAAAGGAGGCAAGATAGGAAAAACTAATAGACCGAAATTACCACATTACACCGATTTCAAGCAATGGAAATTTTGAATAAAAAAGAAACCAATATGAACAGATGCATAGAGTAGTTCAAGTGCTCCCTAAATTTCTCTGTACAATAAATTGAACGACACGTCACACATCTCAATTCTAAAGTAGAAACGCCCACCAACAGTTAAAATGATCCTCAAAACACATCCATATCACAAAAATATCATAAACATCCTGAACATTATTGGCAAATTTTGAATATTAACATATCATCATCATATATAACACAATTGCATTTAGGTATTCCCCTCCCTTAAACAGAAAATAGAAAGGAGAAAATTGCTCAGCTAATGCATAATTGACATAATAAACTAAAAGGCATCTTCAAAGTCTGTTGAAATTGCTCACAGCTCAAATCAAACGCATAACTGAATTAATTTTTGAATCAAGAGGCAGCTTTGAACACTGTTGGTGATTCTTGTCAAGTCCCAATGAACCATCTAGCGCGAAGCAAAAGGAAAGATCTCCCTTCCTGGCCCCGAAATGAAAATGTAACAGCAATTGCCATTCGACCTACCTTATAAATATATATAGTCTTCTAGAGAACCTCACTTTCAAGCCATCAATGTGGAAAAATACAACTACATAGAGAGGACAACAAAAAGGGTATATCAACATATGCAACTAGCTCCATTCCCGTATGCAGATTAAACCCAACATTGTAACATTAGGCACCAACCTCTTGTATGACAAATCAGTTGATCTACGTTCTGTGTGATGGAAATACAAAGCGAATCTACTCCTAAGCATGATTTTCATCATGAGCTTTCTGAATTCCAATCCAGCGTGCATAGTCAACCCACCTAACGAATACAGTAAACATTGCAGAAAATGAGGCAGCCAGATAAGGCAAGATGAAATATGGAGCAGGGATGTGAAGTGAAAAGGAGGATATAATATATTCATGAAAGCATAGGGTACACTTACAATAATGAACCCAAGAATGTGTTGCCAGTTCGTACAGCAAAACAAAGAGCACTTAGCACAAGTTTCTGGTTGTGGAACATGGGTTCCAGTATCCGTTGTTCAACAATACCAGCTAAAAATTGATACCTGCATAAAAGAAACATCAGTAACAGGCGCAACAGCTGATTAAAAATATCACCAGTTAAACCTACGGAGTATATGAATTTGTGGTACCCACATCAATACATAATCAATTAATCATTAAGTTAATAGAAACTGATATGTCCAGCTAAAACTACAAGGACTACAGAGTATAATATTTTGTGTGTGCAGCAGCCCCCCCTTCCTTGTTCTGCCAGATGTAAACAGACAAAAAAATTCACAGCAAAAAAAGAAAAAAAAATTCTAACCAATACTTAAACGTACCTCAGGTTGCTTGAAACTGCCATATACACACCATAACCCACACTGGTGGATAGTATAGGAACAGTCTCTACTTCATCAGCAGCTGACTTATCAACAGCTTTACGTGCGTTGATCACTGCATTCGTTATGGTTGTACCAACCTGTAAAAATTAAACCCATCATCATGCTTATAGCTTCGGACATTCAGTAATCTCTGTAAGGCAATAAATATCACCAATCTGAACAATAACATGTAGGGGCATTGGAGAGGATTTATGAGAGGACATATAACACGCAGCATCATCTATTATAGACTATACAACAGCATGCTTTATAAAGAATGACATGTGAAAGTCGAGAATGGTGAAAATTGCAGTTTTATCCCTTCAAAAAAGTTAAATGAAAAGTTTCAATGGTGACAAAAAAGCTTAGATATAAAATATAAACCATAGCCCAAATCCCATACTTCCTAAAAAGAAGATGAGTACATAGTTGAGAATGATCTTAAGTTACCAATGATTTAGATATATATTGCCAAATATAAAATCCAAGCAATATTTTTAAAGTTAGAGAACGTGCTAGGTTTATCAGAATAAGCACAGAAATCAATAGCATACCAAAGAGGATGTAGTGCCGACAGCAAAAAGCTTTGCCCCATTACGCTGCAAAAAGAAATACATCAGATTGTATCAATTATAGCTTCAGAATGAAACTCTTTTGTCAACATAATTCAATGCTTGAAAAGTTAAAGTAAGTTAAAACAACCCATGGAACCATAACCAATGAACTTACCACAATAGCCCCCATCCTTTGTATAAATGAATACGAAGCACCACCAAGAGCAATCTAGAAATAGTCCAAATAGAGACAGTATAAGAGAATTAGGGCTTGTATATATAGCATACATCAAATCTGACACATAGTAAAATAATCAAACACAAGTAATTTTGCACCAACTAAAGACCTGGAAAGCATTATCAGGACAGCTGTGGAAGAACTTCGTAATAGCTCCAGCATTCAATGCAAGAGGTTGCCGGAGGGCTACAGTTGGAGCAGGAAGATAGACGAGCATGAAATCCGCAATGACGGCCATAACCTTTTATAGAAGCAATAAAGTTATCAAAAAGTAGTATCAATAAAACACTTGCATGCAAATTCAAAACTGTGAGTTCATGATGACTATGAGTATTCAATTAGCTAACCACAATTTGAAGAGACCGAAAATGACTTGGTAGTTAGGAAGGATATGAAGCAAGTAGATTTGCATGAGAATGAGGTATTCGATCATAAGGGATGGAGGAGGAAGATTTTTGTGGATGATTATACGGAATAATCACTTTTGGTTCATGTAGCAGACCCCACTTATGGGATTAAGGCTTTGATTGATTGATTGAGAGCTCATCTGCCATTCATAACCTATCCTGACTATAACCCCAGCCTTGGCACTTCACTTAGTAGGGTGAGAGGCACTTGTTACTAACCTAGCTGATAGACTGGTAAATAACTTGATTTACACTAGCAAATAGCTTGATCAGCTGTTCTCAAAGGTTATTCCAATGTTCAGACATAAAAAAATATGGAGTACAAGATGAGATTAGCAATGAGACTACTGACTTAGTAGGATCATTTTATACAATTCCATCAATGTATACAAATGGAAGAAGCCAGGGTATCTCGATTACACATCCCATTTTCTAGATATACTATCAGGTAATCACATGAGAAAGAAGAAGCAAGAAACAATAGAGATGAGCATGATACATCAAGTCAAACCAATGGCTGGATGACAAGTAACAGTGAATGCAATCAATTGTAGCATACTGCAATTAACATACCACATCTGCAAAAACAACTTCCAATTCGTTGAAGAAATTCTCCTTTCTCTTCTCATATTCTGCAGCAGTCTGAACCCAAAAAAAAAAAAAAATCATGTCGATCAAAAACAATTATTAATTGTTCAAATGTGTCACATGGTAGTTAACAAGGGAAGGGACTCGAAAGTCGAAACATAGAGACCAAAGAAGAAGATGAAGAGAGAAGTGATCTATAACAACAAAGAAGATCACAGGAACCAGGAAGCATTTATAAACAAGGAATGACCTCTTTACTTAGTAGTATAATATTAGGAATCTAGGATTAAAAAGTCCAGCATAATTTATTGTGATTAAAGCAGGACACAAGAAAATGATAAATTCAAACATCGATAGAACTTTACAGCCACATAAATACATTACCGAGAATGAAAAAGCATTCTATTAAGGAAAACTGATATCCTCTGTTTTTGTCAAAACCATTGGTGGGTTGCAAATTATGAAATTAGTATAGCAGACACTGGCTGGGCTCCAATTACAATTATCGAACTACTCAAATTTTCCGATGCAACATATTACCCCGCTTATCCCACTTCATAACAGTGCAAATGGCATCAATATTATAAATTGACCAGACATTTCTGGGATTACTAATCTCAAGAGCTTAGCACAATTTTCTCCTTAAAGTGATACCAATATGGACTCAAACACTAAAGATGCTTCCTTATTTACGCCATTGATAATTTGATATACTCCTCGAGTCCTCGTTTTCAAATACACTCATCCCCATACACCATACACCACCTTAAATAAAAAAGTGCGCTTGATCTCCTCATACCATATTTAGATACCTAAAGGCTAAAGCACCTCCTTCCTCACCAAAACTGTCCAAGTTCGTAATTTCCACGCTCTAAATGAATATATTCCCAAAAAGATATCATCACACTAAAAAAAGTATACCTCCACAATCATAAAAGTACACTTCCACACTCTCAAAAGTATATTACAACACTCTAAATGAATATATTCCCCAGCATTCAGCTCTGTTGTAGAAGAACAGCTTCAAACACCGCGAAACACAACAAAGATAAGGGTAAATTCAAGTTTCACTCAAAGATAAATATGTGAATATATCTCCTCTTACAATCTAATCATTTTCTTTTATTTTTTAAATGATAAAAGTAAAATAATAAGGTGGGGCTCCCGAAGATAATCCATCAACAAAGTAATTACTATCAAAACATTCAGCATTACATAATGATCAATGCCATATTTCTAACAATTCTATATTGTATCTAAATTAGAAATATCAGAGGATAACATTATACGTAGTACATTGTCATCAAATTTATTCAAAAGTATAAAATTTCACCCCAAAAACAAAATTAAAATTATATCAAATATAAAACAAATTAAGAATTGTTGAATAAATCAAATTGAAGAAGAACAAACCTTAGTGAAGACACCAACACCACATTCCATACCAACTTTGGCCAAAAACAGATCATCAGCCAACAATCTTTCTCTAAACCCTCCGAATTGAAGCAACCATCGCAAAAACGCCGATTTCTCGAGTTCTAGATACTTCCTCACAATCTCCACCGGAATCCTACCTTCTTCAATCGCAGTCGCCAAATCCTTCGGCAAACTATCAACCGATCGTCCGATCTCCGATAACACCAAAAATGCATCCTTCTTGTTCTTACTATCACCAGAATCATCGTCATCACCACCTCCACCACCACCACCGCCGCCTCCGGAGATTCCGCCGTCTCCGGAATCACCGCCGGAGTAACTGAGAGGGAGAAGTCGGCGAATGTGAGAAGGAGAACGACGGAGGAGGTTAGAGGAGACGGAAAGAGGAGTGAGTTGTTTGGAGGAGAAAGAAAGCGTTAATGGCGAAGGAAGAAGCGGAGGAGAGAGATTCCGGCGATGGTGAAGGTTGAGGTTGGAAGGTGAAGAGGAGAGGGAAAACGACATGGCGGCGATCGCCATTGTTGAGTTTTTTCAAGGTTTTTGAATTTTGGAGAGAGAAAACGAAAGGTGGTTTTGTTTGTTTTTTAGGTCTAAAATTTTAGCTCCAATTTTAATGGGAAAGAAAAAAAAAAGTCAAACTTTGTCTAACTTTGAGGATTTTTAAGTCGTGTGATTAACTTAACGCACTTACTATTTTGATGGTCGTTTTAAAGTATAGAATTAAAGTTCCTCTAAATTAAGTGTGTTATTAGGTGAGACTCTCATTAATTGTTTAAGAGTTTAAGAAATTAGTAGTAGTAGTTACTAGTTAGCTCATCCCTTCGTCCATTTTGTCTAACTTTTTATAGTTCATATAATGTGCCAGAGTTTATGTATGAGTTATGAAGTATTTCGTATATTCTTTGCAGCAAAAGCAATTTTAGATATCAGAATTATTTTAAAGTAAAGGTTATCGAAAAAGTAGACGAAATACTTCCTTCGTTTCAATAATATTGCAATAATTACCATTTAATGAAGTTTCACAAATATTACTACATTACCATATATGCACGTGATTTTTTCCTCCTCATCACATGGATCCCTATCTTAATTTCTTTCTATCTCTCTCCTTATCTTAAATTCCGTGTCTTCCCCCCCTTTTTGTAATATTAGGAGAATGGAGGGAGTACAGACATAATTTATAGCTTGTGACTTGTCTAAATCTAAAGTTTCTTGCAAATTCTAACACAAAAAAATATTAGTCCTTTTATTTTAGAAAGATTTTTTTTTTCTTTTTGGGTGTGTGTGTGTCTGGGTCTATGGGCTCGTAGCATAATTAAAAGGACCTCCTAAGTAGTATGATGAATATGGTCCACATTTACCACAGCAAGTCCAAGAGCATTTTAGGCCCAATTTTTCAATCGCTAGATTAGCCCTATCCAATCCACAATCTAAGGGGGTATTTGATTCACAGAATATAGGTATGAGGTATGAGTTTAGAATGACTAAAACCTATATCATATGTTTGGTTGTCAAAAGTATGAATTTTAAACCCACACCTCAAACCCATAAGGTATGGGGTTTAGAAACTTTGGGGGGAGGTGGGTTTGGCTCATTCCATTCCCTTAGGTATCAAATAAAAGGAGGGAATAGTGAGACCATTCCAGAATTGAACCTAACACATGGTATTAGGTATCAAGTTCCAACCCAATACCACCTTAATTCCATTCTTAATTCCAAACTCATACCACTCTGCGAACCAAACGCCCCCTAAATAGTTTTGGAAAAATTGACGCAAGATTGTCGGTCTTCTTTAAAAGGTTCAAGTTTAAAAAGAAAATAATCCTTCACCATTCTAAACACCCACCCCTCTCTTTAGGTCCAGTTCTCGTCACCTTATAACAATAATATTTAGTAAAACAAACCACTAAAAATTCAATACGTGATAATTTTAGTGGATTGCTAAACATCGCCCGCAAATCTCCACATAAAGCCCACAAACTTATATTGAAGTTACAATATTGCCCTTGACCTTAAAAAAAAAACACAACCTCAATAAAAATCAAAGTACGGGGATGTCGAGGCTCGTGGCGGCAAGGTGGTTGGCTCGTGGCGGCAAGGTAGTGGTGGCTCGTGGCGGCAAGGTGGTGGTGGCGCCAGGTCCGGCAGCCACGTCCATCGGCCTGGCGTCTGGGCAGGACGCCTAGCCACGGTGAGTGGCGTTTGGGACAGGCGCCAGTCACTGGCTGGGCGTCCTGCCCAGACGCCAGGCCGGTGGACGTGGCTGCCGGACCTGGCGCCACCACCAGCCACGGGTCGTCCTGGCCAGGCGCCCCAGCTGCCTTAAATTTTTTTTTTTAATTTTTTTTTTTTTTTTTTTGGAAAATCAGAAAATTTTTCTAATTTTTTTTTTAATGTGTTTGATTTTTTTTTAATAATTATTAATTTTATGTGTTATTTTTTATAAGTCTAGTATATATATTTTTTATAAAATCAAATAAAAAACATAAATTTCCACATCCTAAATCAAAAAATAAATTTAATAAACATAATTTTTTTTTTTAAAAAAAAAGGCAAAAAAAATAAAAAAATTAAAAAGTAAGGGCGGCGTCCAAACCAGACGCCAGTGCACTGGTGGTGGCGCCTGGCCTGGACGCCAGTGCACTGGTTGAGGCGCCTGGGCTAGACGCCAGTGCACTGGTTGTGGCGTCTGGCCTGGACGCCAGTGCACTGGTTGTGGCGCCTTGCCTGGACGTCCTTGCCATGGTTCCGGCGTCCAAACTAGGCGCCACCTCGTTTTCCGTCGAAGACGACGTATCTCCGGCGACCCTCGCCTCTCCGGCCTCCCTGGGCAACCCAGTACGACTCCACATTTGTTAGATCGAGATTTGTTCACTTTGGGTACGATTTTAGAAATGGGCAAAATTGTCAAACCATGTCTAATTTGTGGGCTTTATGTGGAGATTTGCGGGAGATGTTTAACAAATCCCTAATTTTAACCGATTTACCCATCATAATAAGCTAGGAACTATTTTAAGATGGAACCCCTCTTCCCCAATTTAAGACTATCCTGAGTTAATTGATAATTGAGACCTTTTAAAGAAAAATGTCCACCACTCTAAACACCCACCTCTCCCTTTGGGCCCTATTCTCCTTTTCCTGTCAAAAAAAATAAAAATAAATAAATAAATAAATATCATGTTGACAACACACTCACCCACCAAGATATAAAAACATAATGATAACATGATATTATACACGATTTATATGTTATATTTGATCATATTTTATAGTGTTTTCTTCATTCTCCTGATCTTTTGGAGCTATTATTCTTCCTATTTCGATATTGCTCTTCTCGATTTGTTTGTTTTTGTATTAGTAGGAATAGGGCTCGATTTGCTTGGAATTTGTTTTGGTCGCGAGATTTTTTTTAATGGAGTGTTTTAAGCATCCAAGAAGCGTCATAGAAGCTTACTTCACAACTTGGTTGTGGGCGTTTATTATTGGCGCAAAGGAAAGTTGAAAACAGGTTGCTCCACAGCCTGGTTGTGGCGGTTTCGTCCGTGCCACAACCCACCTGTGGCAGCTCGTTTTGGCTGCATATAGGAGTCCTATTAAGATAGAAATATCTAGTTTTATGCTAGGATATAAATAAGTTTTAAATAGTCTTTTATTTATCATTTGCATACATTATTTTAGAGTTTTGGTATGATGTTCTTCTACAATATTTTCTAGGGTTTTACTTTCAAGATTCAAGATTTCATAATTAATTCCAAGTATTGATTTCTTCTCTTAATTCTCTTTTTTATTATTGTTAATTATGATTTCTTTATTGAATATCATTCTTGATTTCATGACTATGTGTGAGTAGTTTCTTTATTCCAAGATCTAGCGGAACCCGAATATGGTTAATGCATGATTTAATTCTTTAAATTCTCTAATGATAATTGTAATTGATATGCTTAATTGATTATGCTCATGCCAATACTAGATTAGGGATAATTAGTATTGTTATTAACCGTTTTTTTTTAATCGCAACGAGAGTTGGGTTTTAACGGGTTTGGATAAATCAATTAAGGGTTTGAAGTTCATCATGTGAGTAGTTGAATGGATGATTAGGAAGTTAGAGTAATGTGCTCAAAGTCTTTAATTTACATGATTCCACGGAAGTAGGCTTGATTGTGATTAGGGAAGCCGTTGATAACTCGGGAGAGACCATTGGTACCATTTAGGGACTACTTTTTCTCGTTAATCAATTGAATTATATGTTAGGGGTAGAACGACTATTGCATTAATTGTATTCGTGGTGATGCTTGATCTTGGATGTTTTTAGCATTTGATTTATTATATTACTTAGATTTAATTGCTCTATTTAGTTCTGTAGTTATTAATTCTCACTATTACTTTGGTTACTTGCTTAGTATTTATTAATTTAAGTCTGTTTAATTAGTCAAACCATAGTCTCTTGGGATTCGATCCTTACTTGCCTATCTACATAGTAGTGGTCTTGTTAGGTTATTTTTGTTAGGTACGCGACACACCTATCACATAACACAAACCCACTATTACAATGAGTCACATAGTGGTTCAAGTCAAGGATATTCGCACTTCAGTTGTACACCATGCCAACACTATAAAATTAATGGGCTATCATTTCTATCAATAATCACTTGTTGACCCATCCATTCCAAGAGTCAAGATATGTAACGCACTAACGTCTTGTTTGATAACTGGTTATAAATAATGATAATGGAAATAAATTTATATACAGAGTACTTGTATAATTTGAAAAGAATCCATGTCCTAATATCCAATCATGGATGGTAATAGAAAACATGAAGAAAACACATGTTTGGGGATGAGATTGTGTTCCGATGAAGATAATAGGTTTTTTACATACTAAATTACAAATAAAATCAAGGATATTTTAGTTTTTAACACCAGACAAAAGCATAAAAATGGTTTTTTAACACCTCCCAAAAAAAAGTTTTATTTTAACACCAGATAAAAAATTAAAACTTTGAAATTACCACCATTTAACGGAAAAATGAGGTGGGTTTCACAATTTTGTTTTTCCTCCAATTTTCACACGACATTTTCTCTTATTTTTTCTCTCTCCTCTCTTTCTCCTTCATTCTCTCTTCCCAACAATGCCCGACGAATTAAACAGCGAAAAACCAGCAATAATTTGAAGGCCTGGAACTAGCAATTCGAAGGCCAAGAAACACGCAATTCGAGGGTAAAGATCCAACTGTGTTATTAGATGAAGATTCAGCAATTTTAGGCTGGAATTTGACGAGTTTCGCTGCTCAAAGTCCGTCGAATTCGCACCCAGATCCCGGTGACTTTGCAGGCAAAAACCGACCAAGTTCCGGCAGTAAAATCCGGTGATTTGGGCAGAAATCCGGGAGTTAGGGTTAGGGTCATTGGACGCCAGTGATATGGGTAGAAATCCGATGATTTGGGTAGAAATCCGGTGATTTGGGCAGAAAGGCGAAGGCGAGGAAGAAGACGAAGATGTCGACTATGAATTTGTTGATGATGAAGAAACCTTATTGAAGATGGCGATTTGGGCAGAAATTTATGAGTTTATTAATTAATCAGAATCAAAATCAAAATAATTACAATGAAGAATCAAACCCTAAAATTGAAGAAGTTCCCCCAAATTCACCGACGAATGAAGACGAAGAATCACAAATTCCAGAGGGGGTTGTACGTGTTTGATGCTTCTTGATGCTTAGTGATTTCACCAAAAACACTTCAATGCATCCTCCTTGCCCCTGGAAGAACGGTGGAATAATTTATTTTTTTTTCATCTTGCCTTTTTTGCAACCGAAAATGTATCTTTGAATCATCAACATTGCAGTATGTAGTACCTTTGGCATTAAATTAGACAGATTTTTTATTTTCCTTTTTTTATTTTATTCAATTTTTGGGGCATCAATTTGTTGATTGGTGGTGGTCCTAAAATTGTATAATAATTGAGATTGAATGAAGGAGGAGGAAGAATTGTGTAATATTTAAGAATTGAATGAAGGAGGTAAGAATTGAATGAAGGAGGAGGAAGAATTGTGTAATATTTAAGAATTGAATGAAGGAGGTGAAAATTGGAGGAAAAACAAAATTGTGGGACCCACCTCATTTTTCCGTCACGTTTTCCGTTAAATGGTGGTAATTTCAAAGTTTTAATTTTTTATCTGGTGTTAAAATAAAACTTTTTTTTTGGGAGGTGTCAAAAACCATTTTCATGCTTTTGTCTGGTGTTAAAAACTAAAATATCCTAAAATCAATTATTATTACTACAATTTATTATCGGCTACCAAACGGACATTCGGAGAAGTTCAATGGAAGTAGGGAAAAGACGAAGCATGAGCAAAATGTCATCCACTTTCGTTGCGCACAAGATTTCTCTCTCCATCTTCTGCCCTATTAGCATCATCACCAACAATAAGCAATCGAACTCTACTTCATGGGATCGTAAACCTACATCATAGCCATATATCAGACAATTTTTGCTTGACCACATTTAAGTTATACTTTATCTGTTTTTATTAGATCCCTCACTTTTAGACAATTTTTGGTATATATATATATATATATATATATATATATATATATATATTGAAAAATTAATCTCATTGACACTAACTTTGTGGTGTTTTGCAATTATTGATATCAACATGTATCACTTATTGGATTAACACCAACTTACTACAAAAATAACTAAATTGACGCAAATGACACTGAGTAACCAAATATATTTTACTTTAAACCCTCATAATAATATAAAATTCTTTTCCAACATTCATTTGCTTGCAAAAGTTCTTATTGTGTTGGAAAAATAAAAAGATAATATATTGATGTGGAGTTAGCTTGACTCTTTAGTGCTTTTATGCCAATTTTATTCTTTTTTCAGCAAGTGTATTGTCAATTTAGTTAGTGATATAAGTTCGTGTCAATATATGCTGCATACTCTAAAATTAATATCAAGAGTGTAATTTTGCCTACATTTGGTTTAGGCTGTAGATGTAGTTTAAAAAGTGTAGCGAGGATCAAAGGAAGAATGATTTAAGAAATTGGAAAAGTTAGTTATGACAAATGGGTAATAATTTCACAAGCAATAGAGAGATATAAAAACATGATGCATCTAAAAAAGCCAAATGAATATGACTCGGACGAGATTGAAAAATAAAAAAGACGAAAAAAAAAAATCTATGGTAGCATTTTAATTTCAAGCACTAAAAGCTCAGTGGTTTATCATTGATCACCACTACCTTACGTTCAAGCTAAGGTTCTAAGTGTTATCATCATGGAGTATGAACCATAAGAGAGATGGTGTTAACAAAAGCAAGCTATCATCAACCAAAAGATGAGACAAAATTAACATTGTTATATCCTGTTCATGTCGAATTGATTGCTCATTGCAACTTATTTTTAGAATTTTTGAAAGATAGCTCACGTCTATTTGTACACATCATCGTAATGGTCATTGACGTAAGCATAGCAATAAGTAGTGACAATGTTCTATACTTCTATGTACTCCCTCTGTCTTCAAAGATTGCCGCATAGCCACCCTATGTTCACTTTTTTAAGAGGACATATGCACGACAAAGTTGAAGCATGTGAATTGGGTGAGAAGATTAATGGGACTAGAACAAAGTTTGTGAGAGTAAAGCAGTGGTTTCTTATATTTATTACTGGTAATAATATGAGGAAACTTAAGAAAACATCCACAAATAAAAAATAAGACAATCTTTTAAGGACGGATGGAATATACAACTGTACGTCTATACGTACCTAAATACATTTAATTATTCACATCAAATTGTTATTTTCAGCATCTGCGTCCAATTGAGTAGGAAGCTGAGGAATCTCTACGTTTTACATTACATACATATGCACAGTTCCAAAGCTTGACAACAGACAACATTTCAAAATTAAGGACCATCAACCTAATACAACTTGACATTTGACAACGTTATTAGTTTTATTATTATCTATACATCAGAAATTCCGAAGCCATAGTTTGTCAGTATTTCATTCAGTAGGTAGCATGTGCATGTCCATGTCCATCATCAATGTAATATTGTCCCTATAATAAGAACCACAAACCATAATTAAGGTATACGTAACGGTGTAACACCAAATTAGCATGCATTATACACCATATTGTAGGCCCCTTAGACGTTGAATTGTGGGTCATGGGCAACCTTCATGGCAAGGGCAAAGTGATGGGCTGTATCGGGTGGGTGGTGCTCGACCCTGGCTCGATCCGGCACTACCCACCGGCCTTCACTGTTCCTCACCATTCCCTTGTTGTGATCTTGCCTCCATCTAGGTGGGATGCCATACTCACTCTTTAAGAAGTCGGAATCTTTGTTAACAAGGGCAATATCCCTCTTGTTGGCCAGACTAAATTTCCTTCCCTTTCCACGGTAGCCATCGACAAGGTGCAAGTGCGCCTCAAGGTTGTGGGCGCAACTTAGGTCTGCGGAGGGCTTGAGGAAAGGTGAATGGGTTTGGTCCAATGCGAACTCGGTCCCAACATGAGCATAGCTCCAAGGGAAATGGACCGTGTCCTCGAGATACTTTTGTAGCTTGTTCTTCTCATTGGCAATGAGGCCAGGCATAGTAGGGACTTTATCATGGACATTGACGACTCTCAACTGTTTAACTTCTAGCTCATCACACCTTTCCTTGAACTTAAGGTTTCCGACTCTAGGGCTTGCAAAGGAATATACCGTGACTGGTATTTTCTTAGTTTTTTTCTTCTCATCTCGAACGATGTTGAGCCTCATCTCGGCTATGTCATATGCACTTAGTAGCGCGAGAGCTCCCCCTAAGCTGTGCCCTGTCACTGTTATGCTGAGCTTCTCACCTTTGAATCGCTCTACAAGCCGTTTTACCTCTGCAAGGACTTGCTCACGAGCTGAAAATGAGCAAAATTTGCAGTTTTCTTCCTTGGTGGTGTATAGATCATTAAACCCTGATTCAATTTGGACAAGTGGGTTATCTCTAAAGTGGGCAGGGCGGAGTATGTTCTTAAGATCATGGATCCACTCTAAATACGTGACTGTGCCCCGCCACACGATGAGTATGTCTCGGCGCCCAAGCCTCTCGATCTCCTCTTCATCACTGGTGACTGCAACATACCCCATCCAATTTGCATGGGGGCTCCATATGCTCCTGATGCTTGATGATTTCCGGAAAAATTTCTCTAAGTTGATGTTTGAGGTTGCGTAAAGGTATCTGTTTGTTGCAAATAAGTTAGAGGTTAGAACTATATGACATCCACAAAATCATTTTATTCATATGTAAACAAGATGAAACAGAAACCAACATATTAATCAACATGCTTAGCTAGGATAATTAAGTTACAACCACCTTCTACACATTATAATTGGCCCTTTAGACATCCTACAATAATCATTTCATACAAACTTCCAAGAATAATTTCAACCCTACAATTATAATTTCATACAAGAATAATTCAACCCTTTTATATTTCAATTGATGGACAACCAACATCTCAAGGAAAAAGAGTTTTAAATATATTTGGGATATATTTTTACTGATACAGTAATAATTTGAAAGATTGATGCAGGCAAAGAATTAAGCCATATTTATGTGCAAAACATTCTTAAGATGATTTTTAGTTTAATACAAGTACTAAAATAAAACAATTTTTACCTGTTTATGTCAAAAAGATTCTATTACTACACATACCGGCAGATGTGATAGCCATAATGTGCCATGTCCATCCTCTCAAAGAGCTCTGCACGTCCATACTTGCAAGACCCACAATACTTTGAGTGAGGGTCGAAGTCGAAGGAGTCATAGGAAGATTGAGCAAACTCCCCATATCGAAGTATCTCTTGCCGCAGATGGGAGTTCAAGGGGTCTAGTAGCCCCTCCCAATCGTTGAGTCCTTGAACTTCCCTCCATATTTCTCGCAAAAACCTTGGACCTTCCTCTGCTTGAAGGTCTTGCTTCAGCTCGCGAATAAACTCACTCTCTATTTCTTCCTCTACAGACGACGATCCTTGTAACCTTTCGACTAATGCACTTCTTACCGTTCTACTAGACTTGAAGGAACGGTTTTTTGTTAAGCGGCATCTTTTAGAAAACAAGGCATGATTTGAGGTTTTGTTTAGGTTCCATGCATGAGAGAATGATTGATTGTGGGAAGGTTGTTCTACTAGCATGCCTTGAACAAGGTTAGGAGAGGATATTAGACAAGCCATGAAAGGATAAAATATAGCTAAAGAATAGGAAAATATGTGAGTTTATACTAGCTTAAACAAGTGTTTTATAACAACTAAGAGCTCTAATAATGTTGTACAAATATTATACAGTGTAGCTTAATTGGATCTCTTAACATTAATTTATGAATATTTTGGCCTATTATATAAGATGGAGAGGATAGACCGAAAGAGTGCCACATATTTTAGGTCTAGAAAAAGTGGTCCAACATTAATAGCAACATGGAATATAGAAATTATTCACAAGCAACATAATAATATCTCACACTGTCAAAAATTTCACGCCATTATTATTAAGGTAAATATCGAAATAAAAAAGGACAACATATAAGATGTACAAAATAATTTCATAATGAGTTGAAGAAATTTCTTGAAGAAAACTTTAGCAGGGTAGGGTTGCATATGTAAATGATTCAAGCTGAATTTTGTGAAAAGTCCTTAAAAACTAGCCACTCAATGAGATAAGGATATCCCAAAAATAGAAAGGAAAAAAAAACTACTACCCATAATAGTAATGTCTTGTCAGAGGATTTTTTCACTATCCTTTGATTTTTCTCCTTTTCTAGAATGTTGCCAAACAATATGGAGTAGAAATTTATTTACCCATGATGGCATCTGGAATTGTGAAGATGATATCTAATTTGATTAATCACAGACAAAAGTAATTGTGATGGTACTTTGGATGATTATTAGGGTAATTCTCTAAAGAAGTGAAATACCAAATACTGTATTTTTTTGAAGTAACTAAATACTATATTAGTTCTTCAAGGCACAATAAAATATACAAAGATAAAACAAACTTTTGTCTAACTATAACATCTTAATCTTCAAATGCCATCACATTTTAGTCAAGTCCATTTCCAAGAAGTGTCAAGTTTGTAACATTTTTGTTGAAATTCAATATTGTTTTGGAGAGTGGAATAACCGTCTCATAAATCAGAGATTCAGAGGCATCATAGGATTCATAGCCAACAATACAAGAAAAATAATATAAAAAGGCGCACATCCTAGTCTAACTGACATTCCCTGAAAAATTCAATTACGTCTTTAAAGTTTGAAACCATATACGAAGAGAGTGATAACTATGTAGAGTTGATTATGGGTCGGAACACATCTAAATAAAACGATCTGGTAGGCCGAGCAGACCAAAGACTAAAAAAGTTGGGCAAGTGCTTTTTGGCCAGGCTACACAAAAAGGCTCAATCATTCAGCCAAACAACACATTGCCTAGTACATGACGAGGTATGCACTAATGCACTATGCACAAAACTTATGAGAAAGAGTTATGAGTATTAATCAGTAATCATCTCTATGTAGACAGATAAAATTGCTATATATCAAGCCTTACCTACATAAACCAGTCCACTGTTGAATAATAGATGTTTAATATAACGTCCTGCATAGTTCTTAAATTGGCGAAGCTAATTTTCTAAGATGATTTTCACCTGATTCTTGCAAAAAAAAAATCATCTGTAATCTATTACTGTAACATAATTATTTCGTTTTCCTTTCATTATTTTACCTGCTCAAAATATTACATCACTTAGAAATTTACCTACGTACATGAAAATGTGATCCTCATGTTAAATGTGTCAGTTTATGACTCGGAGTTTGGGACAGAGATTTTGCCGGTTCAGCCTGGTACTTGGTAATACTGTTTAACTGAGATCCTCAAAATTTAAAAAACATAAAATCGATCATCTCTCTTAAAGATTGTCACGTATATTATTGTGGGGTGTCCCCTTCAAAAAGAGGCAAAGGAAGTAATGCTTAACAACTACAGTAAAACAAAGCTTATGAATCCATCCGTGTATTAATAAACACTTGCTCCTTTGGTAGCGAACAATTGTCACATATATCATTCTATAAACTTTCAAAAGTTTGCTAGATTTTCTAAAATAATATATCATCTTTCTTCAAATATAAGTCATGTTTACACATTTTTAGATAGGCAAATAAAAAAAAAATAAACATTTGTAGATAAGTGAATTAAAAACAAAAAAAGATACAGAGTAATTAAGTTTAATTGATTAAAGATGAATCAAAAAAGAAGAAAGTAGAGTTTGGCCTGGTTGATTAAAGATGAATACAATAAAAAATAAAATAATGAGGTTTGATTGATTAAAATCATACAGAGTATGTAAAAGCTACGGAATAGTCCAGAAATGATTAAAATTAAGCCAAAAATTAAGCCAAACGAAACTTAGGAGCGAAAGAAGTAACAATTTACTATACTATTTTTCTAAATATCACGTTTTAAATAAATTGAAATTACAGAAAATCATATTAGCACATCTACGCAGTATAATTTAAGATCATATCATATTCTAGATTATGAAGGCTAGAATGAAAACGTATGAAAAGTCAAACTGTCACTAATAGGAGGGATGGTCATGTGAACAAGGAAAATGGTCCAATTTCATTTAGTTAGGACTTAGGAGTACCCAAACAACCAGATACAATGAATGCCAACTCTTAGGTTGTCTTCACTTGGTCTGGCATATATGTATAAGGTACATCCATTATTGAAGCTTCACACAATTCAAGTAAGATGGTAGGAGACTAGGAATTGGTTACTATACCACAAAAAGACAGTATTCAATTCCTCTTATTTCAACCATGGTAAAATATGAATAAATTTAGATAAACTATACTTCATACTCTATATATTAAGTAAGTTATTATCCAAAAAATGAGTGGCTATATGTTTTTCATCTTTCCCAATTTTAAAGTAACAATCAAAGTTAACATAGACATGGTCGTCGATGTTAACAACACAAAAACATGTAGTTTAATAATTCTTCACGTTTAATGATAGCAAACTGCAAAAAACAATGGACTACTCCTTAAATTGAGAATTGGGGCAAGAATCTAACGAAATCAATTGATCGAAACCAAAAAATCGCAATCTCTGATACCATATGAACTTTAGAAGAAGAAAAGAAGGAACGAGAGAAAACAGAGAAAAAAGGGAAAATCTATTATTGAAGATATATGTAAAATGTTACAAGTGATATGTACTGTACAAGGAGTATATATATATGTGTACTGTTTCGGGTGAAAACAATGGGACCTTGCCGAAGGTCCGCTGAAATGGAGAAGACTGGATTCGGTCCAAGTTGTGTTGGGCCGAAGGTTTCCTGCACAGTAAACACACGTAAACTAGCCTCGGGGGTGTTGCCGAGGAAGGCCCCTCCGATGCTAAAGTCAGTACAATGTGTAAGAAGAAGACACTATGCAAGAGAGTTTGTAGCTTGAGACTTTTATGGAATATATCAGAATGTATGAATCTATTCAGAATATGAATATGAATGTGTATATATGATGGCTTTTATACCTCATCATATATGGAGAGGTTGGGCCTTAGCCCAATTGGCTTGCTTTGTGGGCTGACCTTTGACTTTTGCACAATTGGAGAGTTGAACCTTGACCTTGGGCTTTTAATTGGATCATTTAGTGCTTAGGCCCAATTGGACTAAATTGGACCCAAACAACTTGCCCCCCAGACCCGATTTGGAAGGATGACGGGTCGGGTTTGATTTAATTCAGAAAAGGAGGGAAGTAAATGATTTAATTAATCCAAAAATTTGAATTTAAACCGTAATTAATGAGATAACAACGGTTAATGATTGTGGAAGTTGGACGGATAATGGGCAGTTTAATCACAAGATCATGTGTTTAACGGTTACTTAGTGGAGTACTTAAGAGAAATTAAAACGCAGACTCCTCGTATCCCGTACCTGGAGATATAAACAGAGGCGCGTCATTTCTCCTCACTTATTCACCAACACAAACCCAGAATTCTCGAGAGAGAAACCAAGAACCCGCATCAAAACTTCGCAAATTCCCCGAGCATTAAGCTTAGAAACTGAGACTTGCCACTACGAACTCGTAAATCGGCAACTTTCGCTTCAGATTAAGGTAAATTCCTTTGATTTCAGTTTATTTTTCTTCGAATTCAAACTCCTTCCCCTTTTCTTTCGACTTTTCTCTTCGAAATAATCAATGGCAAGAGGAGTTAGAGGTAGAGCCCGTGCTCCAAGAAGAGCAAGGCCGATTCCCGATCCTAGGAACAGGATTGGGACCTGGAATGGTCAAAGGCCGGAGTCTGACCCTGCTGAAGGGATTAGGGCGACTCCCCTTTCCTCGGCTCCTCCTCAGAGAACGGAGGAGCCGAGCGCTTCTGGACGGGATGATGAAGTTCCCGCTGTCCTTTGGGATATCCTCCCCGGGTTTTCAGAATGGGAGAATGCCGAAGTTGCTTCGGCCATGATAAAGAACCGCCCCTACTCATGGTGGGTGGAGAATGCCGATCAATATCGATTTGCCGAGCAAATTGAGTTGCATTACGGCATTTTTGAAGCTGATGGGTATTGGTGCCGAATGCCCTCGGCATCCGATAGAATCCATCGTCCACCCCCGGGGTATGTGGGGGTGTACACGAGACAGCTTCAGTACGGGCTGAGGTTCCCTTTGGACGTATTCGTCCGAGACTTGCTGATCCATTACAACATCTCTCTATGTCAGTTAACTCCCACCAGCATCCGAAGGGTGATGACATACTTATGGGTCTGCAAGTTCTTCAAGTACGTGCCGAACCTGCACTGCTTCAAAAAGCTCCATCGGCTAGTGCCAAATATTCAAAGTGGGCACGGAAGCCATGGTTCTGGGTGGTACCGGATTGAGTCCCGGCCCCAATACCTAACCATGTGGCCAAACGACTCTTCAGACAAGGACTGGAGAGGTCAATGGATTTGGGTTAGGGCACCCACAGATCCGGGCCACCCTTGCGTCTTCAGCGCTCCCCGGTACCTCGCTGAGCCTGATCCCGAAATGGGAAGTTTAGGTCCCCCCGCAGATAACGGGGCGGATCCGAACCTGGATCAGCAACATATCTTCGGCAAGCTGCCGAACCGGGGGGGCAGTGGCCGAATGCAGCATATCCCGGAGACTTGGCTCCCCGATACGCATTACGTTTTCCAAGAGAACATGCTAGCAGCTGTTGGCCTCAGCCGAAAGTTTAAGGATGGTAAGCTTCTTCGGCTGGGGCCGAGGCTTTTTAACTACCTCTTTTTCTTCTCTCGCTTTGCTTTTTTATGCTGTGCCAACCTATCTGAGCTAATCTT